TATGTATTGTCGTCGATACGCCCGCATTCGCATTGGTAGCCTTCTCGGCATTCTAGAATCATCTCGCTCTTGGTGAAGTGCAGCACTCTCGGCGAAAGTAGGCGTTCGGCGTACGGCCATGCGCGAATCAAGAGGGGCGTGTATAGATTTGCTTCTTCGGACATGTTGAAGGGTAGCTCCCACTCGTTCATGTGAGCATTTCCGTCAAAAGGTGCCTTGAAACTGTAATGAGTCGGCTGCTCCCGCACGTTGATCTTATGTAGCGAGCCTTTGTTGTCCGTTGCTTGGATTTTGAACGGCTGGGTTTTGGGAGGAAAGAGGGGTTGGGTACTGCTGTCGGATGCGGAGGTCGCCGCAATCGTCAGGAAGGCGTTGCCGAAGATCTCATCCATCTTGAGCGAGTCTTCCAGCTTCTCTTGGACGTCATCTTGTATCAGACACAGACTATCGATAAACAGCCAGCGGAAACCAAGCGCTCGGGTGAGGAAGACGGCCTCTTGGTATGCTCTTGGCAATGTTGACCATGGAATGCTCTTCTTGTGTGATTGCAGGTTCGCCAAAGTCGTTTTCGGGATACCTTTGGCCAGTCCCCAGACATGGCTCAGGGCGATGTACTCGCCGTGTTCGTATCTCCGCTCGTCTTGGATGTATTCACTTTCGTGCAAGCGCATGCTCTTGGAGTCGTCGCGCGACAGTAAATCTAGAACGCGCTTGGGTAGTGTGGTCGGTTTGCCTCGGCGACTGCATGTAACATGGTTCTCTAGGCAATTCTTAATCAAGCCTCGCGCTGTTGCTAAGCCAGTACTCTGTAGTGGATTTTCTGTCACATGTTTTCCGCGCCCAATGGCGGAGAAAGGAGACTGGCCGTCTGCGGTGTTGTCAGTCCACGCGTTCCTGCAGAGCAAATGAGCTAGCAGGCAGTAGGTGACCGTTCCACGACCGCGACCATCATTACATCAACTGAAGCACGTCGGAAGGAAATTTGGCATACCTCCATCGGTGAAGAACTCAAGTTTCAGATCTGCATGGCCTGCCGCATGTTCATGTTCGTCCTCGTGGCAATCGTCATGGTCGTCGTTGTCTTTCCATCGGAGCTCGACGGAAAGATGTTCTTGGGGAACTTTTCCATTCTTTGGCCTGAATGTTTCTGCCTTCACTCTCACATTGTCTTCGTTGATGTTTGGGAACCGGTCGTGGTGTAGGAGGACGCCATTGAGGAGGAGCGCGCACGCGCGGCAGGAACTTGATCTCGACCTCAGATTTGGCAGCGTCGTGTCGACCCAAACGAGCGAATCTGGCCCGTTCTCTTGTACGCTGTCCGATCCATGGAGGTGCTTCTGGAGACCTTTACATGTCGCGCAAACAGAGACCATGGCGTCGTGGAGTGGTTGAAAATGCGTGATGGATATGACGACGGTGCGGGGTGCTGAGGTTCGTCCCCGTTGTTCCGCGGGGCGGCAGGACAGTGTTAGGGAGATGGCACACTGACCAGGTATACGTCAATTGAAACCCCTTAAGCAGTCGCTACTAGTGAAAATGCTGGCCCACGAAGCCAGTCGCAGCAGCTGACATTTGCATGCGGCTTCCAGACCATTCGACGGCCTAAGGTGGAAGGTCAGCTCTGAACCAAACCAAAAAGTGGAGGCGCCACTACTAATCCTACGGACAGTGAACCTCTCCCGCTCTTGTGGGGACGCCCAGCTTCCAAAGCACAAGGATCTCTCGTTGCACTGCGCCGAGGCTCCGATTATCATTTGCAGAAAGATAAGTATTCGGCGACCTATCGCCGCCTTGTCTCGCCCCTCGTTCGAAGACCTGCAGCACAGATCATCGGGCACTGCGCATGGCGATATCATCCAAGCTGGTGCATGCTGACATCTATCCTGCGCCCGCCGAACCTTGGTAACGAATGGATCGCGACGAATGCCTAGGTGCCGCTCGTTCGGTGCTTCTCCCGTGAACACGACCCTCGCGCCCGCAGATCCGGGTCAACGTGCTTCAGCCCATTTGTTCAATCATTCGTCAACGCAATGCTTTTTTCGAGCTGCTAGCCTACCAGGAGAATTCATGGTCAAACACGAGCTGAGCCATTGCTCGGCCAAGTGCTGCATTTAGCAGAAGTGACATCTAGATTCTCACCTGACAGCAGCCATGAGAATGTCTTCAAATCCAAGCTATCCGGCATCAGCAGAGCCGTATTGCCACACCGACGTTGTTCAGCCTGCTTTCAGACACCGGCGCATGGTGATGGCAGCCATGGAAAACGCCCTGCTTTCCGCTTCAAAAGCCGCCTCAAAAGCCGCCTCTAACAGCCAATCTTTCCTACGGAACTTTTCTGACTTGCATCCTACTTCCAGATCCGGCGCGTCATCCTTCCATGTACAATCTATCCACCGGTCGACCATCAGCATGTCAGATTCGTCAATCGCCTTTCGGCTGCGTCGACCACCGATCGGTCACGAAAGGACGGCGACACCTGCATGCCTGCACCTGCTCAAAAGACTGGGAGCAGAATCGCATTCGCGCAAGGCTTCATGCATCAACGATGTAAAGTCCAATGAAGAGGTCAACTTGCAATCTTCCGCTGCGTGTCATCACTTGGGCTTCGAAAGGGTGGTCAGGCTAGGACCCGCCAAATCGAGTTCATCTACATCCATGAGCCACTTCAACCGCCTTGTATGCAAGCCTTCACGACTCTGCCTCGCCATTCGGTCTGCGGTCTGATAGTCCGAGCCAACGATGTGGAATGGGCGTCAACCGCTGCGTTAAAAGCTCACTGTGTTCAAATGGTCGCTAGAGGCTGTACGCCCAAGCATGCTAAAGGCGAAGCCAACATCACGAGAAGATGCTGCCTAAACTCGTGGAGGCTTGAATGATGAAGTTGCGCACCGTTCGCGAAGTGCGATCTCGTAGTGACCTATAGCGTGCCGACTTCAGACTCCATTACGCGTATCATCGTCACGTAGGCTCATAAAGTTCTGTTCCAGGACATACGGCGCTCATCGATCGGTGGGACTCGATATTTATAATCCTGTTCACTAAACGTGACTTCCGCAAGTCGCGTCTTACTCACTATTACCACGAGACTGCGCGTCGTGTCTGCGTGAAGGGCACAGCGCACGTGCCTTTACCAGCAGAATCGAGACTAGCGCTGCGGGACTGCATGTGGTAGCGACGACCCGGCCCCACATCGGGCTGCCACAAGCATCCCAGACGTGCCAGAGTCACGATGTATGCAACTCGCCTGGCAACACCAACATGACTTCGGTTGTCAGCGCATTGCGCAAGCAGATTGCAACATGCGAAGCCACACTCAAAGATCTGCGCCAACAACTGGCGGAAGCGGAGCACAATCAACGCGAGCAGGGCAAGATTGTGCCGCAAAAAAGGCGACTGGCAACTGATCCTGTAAACCCTATGGATCATGACATGAATTTTGGAGTCCCGGATCAGTTCCGCGACGAGATCTTTTCTATCCTTCAGCAAGAGCAAACGGCGCCGGAAGCCGCGGGCACTGTAGCTGAAGATGCGCCAAAATGGCCATTGGAGAAGAACGAGTACAAGAGATATGGAAGGCAGCTGATTATGCCTGAGATCGGTCTGAAAGGTGAGTTTGGTCATGAATAAGAGTTCTTGGAATGGTGCTGAGCTCGGGTTCCTTAGGTCAGCTTCGCTTGAGAGATGCCCGTGTACTCATCGTAGGTGTGGGTGGTCTCGGTTGTCCAGCTGCTGCATACCTGGTCGGAGCAGGAGTTGGTACCGTTGGACTAGTCGATGGCGACGTGGTAGAAGAATCGAATCTACACCGACAAATCTTACATTCTACGGCCAGGGTTGGCATGACCAAAGTCGAGAGCGCGATGGTGTCATTGAAGTCGTGCGTCTACCCATCAATATGTACTACGGGAAACCCAGCTAACCTACTAGACTAGGCTCAACCCTAATGTTACACTTGTCCCTCACACATCCCGACTTAGCCCAGAGACAGCGATTTCAACATTCAAACAGTACGACTTGGTTCTAGACTGCACAGACACTCCCGCGTCGCGCTACCTAATATCCGATACTTGTGTCCTGCTAGGCAAGACCCTCGTCTCCGCATCAGCCCTCCGTATAGACGGTCAAATGATGGTCCTGAACAACCCACCCTTACCAGCCGGCGATCCCAACGGAGGCCCCTGTTACCGCTGCGTCTTCCCCAAACCCCCACCCCCCGAATCCGTCGTCTCATGTGGCGACGGCGGCATCCTAGGACCGGTCGTTGGCGTAATGGGCGTCTTGCAAGCACTCGAAGCCATCAAAGTCCTCACCCACAAACCCACCACCACACCCGCAGATCCGCCCAGCCTTCTCCTCTTCTCGGCTTACTCGAATCCCATGTTCCGGTCTATACGGCTCAGGAGCCGGAAAGCGAAATGTGCTGCTTGCTCGACGCACGCGACGATTAGTGCAGAAGCGCTGGAGTCGGGGAGTCTGGGTTATGTCCAGTTCTGCGGTAGTTTACTTCCAGATAACAATCCACTGGCCCCTGAAGAACGTATATCAGCGAAGAACTACGCTCAATTACGATCCGGTGTCAATCCTTTCACGGGAACAGTCTCGAAGAAAGAAAGCCACTTGCTAGTTGACGTCCGTGAGAAGGTGCAGTTTGAGCTGTGTAACATCGACGGTAGTATCAACGTGCCGTTCTCTGCGGTCTCAGCCACCCGGGGATCTGCCTCTGCCGTCAAAGAAGAGGACTGGACCAAGATGCTGCGGCAATCCGAGAAACCCATCTTCGTTGTGTGTAGATTGGGCAATGACTCGCAGGTTACGGTTAAGAAGATGAAAGAGCTTGGACTTGATGCGGGAGGGAAGAGGTACATTGGTGATATCAAGGGAGGGCTGCAGGCGTGGAGAAGTACTGTCGATACTGAGTTTCCGGATTACTGAGCTTGTACTTCTAAATCCTTATGTAGATGAGGACACTGAGTCGGAATCAGCATTCCTAGTCAAACACCCTACCTACCAAGCTCAACAACAAACCTCTTACCACCCCCGTATCCCTCTACCATCCTCTCCAAAACCCAATCAACGCCCTCCAAGCCCTTAACCATCTCAACCTCCTGCGCACTCATCCACCCCTTCTCCATGCCAAACGGTAAATACGTCCCCACAACCCACTCCATCAACCCCTCATTCCCCTCCTCGTACAACGAGTCTGACCACGGTTCAAACACCCTCTCTACACCCTCTGGCAAGCTCTCAGGACTGAAAGCAGGTTGCGTAGCAAAGACTTTGCCTCCGCCTTGCGCTGACAGAACGCGGCTTGCGAGGGTGATGGTTTCGGGAGTGGATATCATGTCCACGACGACATCGTAAGGTACATGCGCTCTGAGTTCTGCGATAATCTGGTCGGGTGGAAGTGTGTGGTCGATGATACTACCCTTGCTCCCAATCAGCTCACGCACAGTACCCATGTGCTGTGGTGAAGACGTTGTGATAACATCGTACCCTGCGCATCTGAGGTACTGTACTGCTAAACGACCGAAACTGGAACTTCCGCCGTATATCAATATCTTTTCTCTTTCTCCTTCTCTTTCTTCTGGGACGTCATCACCTGGCTTGCGCAATCCCAGCCGCCCGGAGAAGAGACCAGCAACACAACTCGCGTTCATTACCAGCGCCACCAACGCTGCTTCGTCATCTTTGTTCATGTCTTCCGGTAATCTGACTACCATCTTCTCCCCTGCAGCAACGAGGACGTAGCGTTGATATGCACCATATTCGTTGCCCTGTGTACCGAATCTCTTGCTAACGAGAATACGGTCGCCAACTTGGTGTTTCGTGACTTTGGAACCGACAGCCGAGATCGTGCCCGTGTAGGAAGAGCCTGGGACGAAGGGAAAGGAAGGCGGTGGTGGGGTGCCACGTTTAGCGATCTTGGCTTCGATGGCGTTGATGCCGATGAGGGAGACTTTGATTGAGAGTTCGTAGGCGGAAGGTTTGGGGATGGGGAGGATGTGTAAGGTGAGTGGGGAGTTTGGGGATGTGAGGATTGCGGCTTCGTTCATGGTGGGTGACTGTTGAAAATCGCAGTTGAGTTGTGCCAGAGAATGGATTTGATGGTCTGTTATACATTTGCATGGCTGTATACTACTACGTGTTGGTGTAGAGCTCAAAGGAGGTGGCTGCAGTATACAAGAGTCGATGATTAAGCGATCATGATCCTACGGAAAGTTTCCGCCACGCATTACACAGCACGATGCTGAGCTGCCGTGTTTTCGCTACATCATTACCCACGTCAGATCGATCAATCTGGGTAGTTATTATCATGCTGACATCGGCTCGGGCTGTCGGTGCTTTGAGGCTTTGAAATGCGGGAGAGTAGGGCGCCTAATCTGGACGATGCAGACACGGATGGAAAACTCGTGCCTGGTCAGAATACCTGGCCTACTTCCTGCCAATGCGTCCATGGTTCTGCGGATATCTCTTCAGTGTTCCTCGCCTGCCAATTCGCTCCACTGAGCCATTGATGTGGTCTTCATCCTCTTATCTCAGACGCCTGGCCTTCACTGCTCTGCGAACTCAGGCTTCGTCTGCATATTACTCTGCACATGACTCTTGAGCGCCGCCCAGCGATCTTGCACTGCATCAGCGCCCTGAGCCCCTTTCCCACTCCCACCCACAAGCTGTGCCAGATTCGCATTAAACCTCTCCTTCTCCAACTTCTCCAGCTTCTCTTTCCGCTTCTTCGCACCCTTTGTTTTCTTCATGCTGTCGGGCATCTTCTGAGGTTGCACTATCCGCGCTTGACTTGTTTCGAGCCCATCTTCTCCAGACTCTGGCAGTGCGTCGGCGAGTGATTCGAGGTTTGCGATGAGCTTGTTGTTGGGGCGTCGCCGTTTTTGCGTCTTGGCAGAAGACTTTTCGATTTTGGATACGAAGGAGGAGTGTTTGATCTTTAGCTTGTCGCGCTTGGAGGAAGGGTACGAGGGGATGCCGTCGGGCTTTGGGAGAGTTGCAGTGGTGGTGGTGGGACGGGCGGCGCGAGCTGACTTTGCGCGCGCTGTTGTGCGCTTCTTGATGGGTGCCTATTCGCTCAGGTAAGTATTTGTTTTCTTGTACAGAAGTCGCTAGAGAAACATACCATGGCTGTGTTGTGTGTAGAGAACGTTGGATAGTTCCTGTCGCATAGGGCTCGATCGCTGTTGCGCAAAAGTTCTTATCGATAACGACTATTGCCGACGTCAACCACCCGGCCCGTGCGACCTTCACAGACACTGGACGTACAACTCGGCTTCCGTCTCACGACCCTCCATCCGGATGTAACTTTGCGGCTACACGAGATTCACGACTTCATACGCAACTGCAACTGTATGACCTTCTCCGACGTGATTCAACAGGCACATCGCCTCAGTGAGCTACCACGCCTCCTCATCGTGCCCCTTTGCTCATCCTTGTCGCATCTACCGGGCTAAGTCATGTGTTTCACTCTTCACAGACTTCCTGTCATCATGTACACGCTCGTGGTGCTTGAGGCAACGCGTTCAACTCCGCCAGGATGAAGTCCGAAGAGCTGCCTCACTCGACGCCACCAACGGCGAGTCGGACTCCGCACCAAACAGCAAACAGCAGCTCTTCTCGCAGCCGAGTCATCTAGTCATGCTTCGACCTGGGGCAGGACTGCTTTATGGAACACTCCGATAAGACTGCAGCATATCGGGCTTGGCTAGGTGCGGCCCGTTCCCGACCACCAACTATTGGCTGTCTGTCGCATAACGATCCTCGTTGTGATCACCTATGATGCACTACGATGGCATGATTTTCCCTCGTTTTGTTTCTTGCAGGGTTCACTCCAGTAGAACATGTCATAGAAGCGATTGCCACAGGCAAGTCAAGGTATACGAGAGAGTATTGCTTTTTTACAACCCCAAACCTGTCCTGAAACGCTATCATTTAACCTCAGCTGCCACCATCTGCGGGTTGGCAGCGCTCCGGCATGTACAACATCCCCGTATCACTGTGGCGCCATCCTTCATCCCAACACTACGGACCTGGGCTCAGCTCCACGACGGCCGTCTAGCCTAGATGCAGGCACGCGTGCGACCGATCAGCATCGAATCCCGCCCACTGCCGTCATGTTGTTCTACGATTCGCTGCGGGTCGCGACTCACATCCCTTCCGCTTCTATTTGTGGTTCTCTAGACGAAACTATGCGAACCCCTCATCGTCTCTGCCGCGACAAAAGGCAATCATTCGCATGAAATGCAAGACGCGTAGTCCTGGTGACTCGGACTTTAAGGGAGCATTACGAACAGCGTATGCAGCTTGTCCGAAGTTCGAGAACATCTGGCCCTATTCATCTCCTTGTAGCCGCCAACATGCTATTTCGATAAAGATTCATCAAGGCTCATTTCAATGCAATCTCCGAACCGCGCAAGACACGATGTGCGAACAAGCCCAGCATGAGAATGCGCTCATTTCAGCTCAGAATCATGGTACTATTCTGGTAATGGTAGCTTGGTTTCTTGCTTGCCTATTGGTATGAACTCCATCTGGGTTTCCATCTCAATGCTGATCATTGTCATAGGCTATATGCACTGTAGCAAGAGTCGTCGCTCGATACAGATCTGAACACCTTCGCCATCTCTCGTCGACAGATGACGTCATTATCGTTACCGCATCAGTCTTTGCCCTTGGAAGCACCGTGATAATATCCACGGCTGTGGAATCGGGCCTGGGGAAGAGGAACTGTCTCCTCAGCGATGAGGAATTGGAGCAAATCCAACTCAAGCTTTATGTTACTACGATACTTTTTGTTTTGACAATAAGCATCGCCAAAAGCTCGGTCCTACTGTTCCTCTATCATCTAGCAGATAGCACACTACGCAGGGCAAGTGTCCTACTTGTTAGTACACTGGTCCTGATGTGGACCATTGCAGTTCTAGCAGGCATGGTCTTCCAGTGTGAACTACCGACGCCGTGGCTGGTGTGGACGGGCAAGTGTATCCCTTTGGTAAGTCCGATCAACACACCATGACTGAACTCGTTCTAAGTATAGTATAGCTACCATTCTGGATGATCGCCACCATCACGGATACTGTTCTAGAGACAGCCGTGATCACTCTCTCGGTACATCACATATGGACACTGCGGGAATCCTACCGCCAAAAAGCCTTGGCGACACTACTGTTGTCCATGCGCTTCATGTAAGCAAGGACCTAATACTCAGCTGAGACCTTGCTGATGTCCCGTGTAGCTTAGTTGCAGCATCTATCATTCGTCTGGTTTATCTTCGACAAGCATACGATCGCAATGGAGACCCCGCTTTCGACTCTTTACCCTACGCCGTGGTCACACAAGGCCAGACGACACTAGCCGTTCTCATCGTTTGCAGTCTCTGCCTCAAGCCATACTCTCGCTTCCAAGCATCCCAATCGCCGGCCCCCAAACCCAAATCAAGACACTCGAAAACCTGGTCTGGTAGCATCACCATCGGTGGCACGCCCTACGAATCATACAGGTCGTTTCCAACACCGATCATACGAGAACCCTTGCTGGCTATACAAGCGAGCATGTCTACACCAAACTCGCCGGCAGGTTCCAGGCACTCACTGAATGAAGATATACTGTTGCCAGATACACCGATACCCGCGCGATCTGCTAGAAGGCCTCCTCGGCCTCCTCCACCAAGTGAAGAGCAAAGACCAGATCTAAGTATGTTCACTCGAAGTCCTACTACACAGCAGGCGCCAGTGGTGACGAAACTTACTGTTTGTCAAGAGAGAGAAAAGGGAATGGACCTGAAGTCAAGGGGCTTGTTGATCCGATAGAGCGCATGTGTCTCTGTTCGTTCAAAATAGTTATAATGTATTCTGCTGGGCGGTTGCGGCAGGTAGCTACCATGAAGAATGCTTTAGCCGATGTACCTTCATGCATCCGTTCCATGAATCTACATTTTACACCACCACCCCTCCATCAAGCCCACCACCCAATCAGCGCCATAATCGCCGCCCCAAAAAACACATACCCGACCATCAACCCCAGCCTGCCCAAATCCTTCGTCCTCTCCCTATCAAACAAAAAGTCCTTAGCCAACAACTCCACCAACCCACTGTATATCAGAAACCCCGCACTAACCGCATTCAACACGCCCTGCACCATCAAACTGACCTTGCTCTCCGGCAGATACGTCGTCCTAACGCCCAGCCCCACGGCAATAGCCAGCGGCGTCGTGAGCCCATACAAGGCGCAAAGCGCCCACGGCATCCAGGTCTTGCCGCGCGGAAACGAGATACTGGATAAGCGGGCCCCGATACCCAGTCCTTCGAAGGATTGATGGAAGACTAGAACCGGGTAGAGAGTTTTGAACTCGTCGCCGACGACGCCGAGGTTCAGGCCGATGATGACGGAGTGGAATATGATTCCGAATTCGAGGACGAGAAACGCGCCGATTTGCTGCGCGAAGGAGAGGCGGGCTGCTGTTGAGGTGGTGCAGAGGGAGGATGAGGAGTGGTAGCTGCGAAGGCTTGCTGTGTGTTTCCGGTGGTGGTCTTGATCCCCGTTTTGGCAGTCTTGAGTCGGGTTATTAGTGTTGGATTCTGGGTCCACCATGGCTACTGGTGCGACTCCGATGGTGGTGGTGTTGTTATCAGAGCGAAGAAACGCGTTATTGGAAACCTCGCTCTCTTCTTTCTTCACTCCAAAATGCCGTTCGACATATACTTCTGCTCCTAGATCTACGCAGAACACTGCCATGATGGACGTCAGCACTATGGCTGCACACCATGGATACTCCGCCCATGCTCCGCTTTCTCCCACACAACTCCCCGGTCCTATTGCTTCGTACGCCGGATCTAGCAGGTGGATAAACGCTGTTGCGACTATGACTCCCGAACCGAAGAAGCGCGCGAAGGTGTAGAGCCCGAGTGGAATCTTCCAAGATGGTTTCTTGCGCGCGATGACGGGGAAGTAGGTTACGAGTGTGGAGACGAAGCCGATGACGAAGATGGACGAGATGCGCGCGCCGAGCATGCCGTTGTATTCGTTTTCGCCTACGGCGAAGTAGCAGATTACTGAGGCTTTATCGGCTGTCGTGAGGTCGACGTGCGAGGGGTCGAATGCTTGTGTCGCCATGATGGGCGGAGAGAGAGGGGAGGTGGGTTGGAAGGGATGAGAGGTATGATGGATTTCAGAGACTCGGACAACGTTGTCTCTAGCTAACGTGAGTCAGAACTGCAATTGATGTCCTCAAGCTCTCAGTGTAGTTGCGGCTCTGACGTCGGGCATTTTATCGTCTGCATGCCAAGTACCTTGTTGGACGATTGACAGCAGGCATTTCAAGCCACTGAGAAAGTGCAGTGTGTATTGTACTGCCCATGTAGGTACCGAACTACTCGGCACCCTCGGCATCTATCCCGTTCCGGAAGTCGTAAACGTTGAAGCTTTTTGGACGTTGCTTTGCTGTTTCTGGTGTCTCATTATGTGATATTGTCAATTTTTGCGCCTCTAGCTACCCTGCGTGTGTACATGTTGGGTTATTTTGTACTCTGATATGCTAATCGAGATTTAATCGTCATTGCTGCTAGCCCGGAGAGGACGTCTGACTGCGTTGTTGTATGCGCTCGGTAACGGGTGTTGAGCGTGGTCGGTGCGTCGGAAGACATGCAGGTGTTCGCTTTTTTACCCCTACCTACCTCTTCGTTGTATATACATACTACTACCAACATACACATCGGAATTCTGTAGAGCTTAGAACATCCCTTTGTACTCACGAGAATGAGTTGTACGGAAGACTATTAAAGCAACAGCTTTCTTTAGTGATGTAGTGGACAGGAGGTATTTAGATTCGTTTCCACAATCCAAACCTATCCCGATACCGCACCAAAATATCTCACACTCCCTCATGCCTTGACCCCATACTCCCATTCATGTCTCCTCAGAGTACAAAGCCTTCATGTTCTGCAGATCAGAAATAATCCTATCGATCTGAGCAACATCTTCCAATTCAACCACCTGCTGATAGATGCCCGCAACGCTGATATTCCAATCCGTAGTCTCATCGTAGAACGAATCATACGACGTCACCGAGGACGGTCGCAGGGACAACTCATCTGGAGCCCCATGGGCCGGCGGGGGACCAGGCGAGGAGAAGACAGAGGAGTGTGACGGCGACGGCAAGAAACCTACGGGTGAACTGGGGGAGCGGAACGCTAGTGGCATAGGGCGGTCGGGCGCTGACGTTGTTAGTTAACATGAAGTTTATTAGAGGTTGACGTGTATGTAGCGTACTATTAGGTGGGTAATCGCCTCGTCCACCAGGTGAACCGAGGGATGTCGACCTCAACGCTTGTGATTCTATCACTTTTTCTCGCTGAAGGTGAAGTGAAGGCGGCAACTTGTCGATCCGCGGACTAACTGGCGACGAGAAAGAACGTGTAGGCGTCGTAATGCCCCCATGTGTGGGGGAGTCGGCAGCAGCTTGTCGCTTGAGGATCGTGGTACGGGATTCACTAGAAGTAAGACGCAGATGTTAGTTTGCGTAATGTGTGAATGCAGCTATGACATGTGTATCTAGAATGTGGGTGGTATTCTGGATGGTTATGAAACGCTGCTAGTGGTAGTAGTAGACATGGGCGAGAAGGTAGGTGGTGGTGAGGTGGGAGACGAGCGAAGAAGAGACATGGCAGAGGCATCTAGAACATTGCGTGACACCAAGCAGTGCCTGGACAACGCAAGTTCGCAATGCGTGCGCATCTATGGAGGAGGATTTGTGAAGTGGGCTTAGCGTACGAGGGGCGGATGTCGTGGACGTCGCGGCAGAGTTCTTCGAGGCAGAAGTTGTTGAGGCGGGAGAGGTTGTAGCCCTATCAATCGTTCACATTAGCCAATCATATCTATACAACGGGTGTCGATGGGAGACTGACGCGATCAAGACCCAGCTCTCTCAGATATTTCTTGGCCTCCTGGAAGTGCTCGTCGCTCTCTTTGATCCAGTAGCCGAAGAGAGAGAGGTGGACGTCTGCGATGGTCATGTTGCGGACTTCGTCGGCGTACTTCTTCACTTCTTCTGCACTGAGGTTGACGTGCAGGGACTCGTTGCGGCGATGACGGCTGCTGAGTGTAGGACTGGCGAGGTCGTGGGCGACGTGTGTGCCTTCGCATTCTCCACACTCGTCTCTGAACCGCCGATTATCGACGCTATCGTCGTAGTCATACTGAGAGTAGTCACCTGGGTCGGCGGTGAAGACGGTAGGGTGGTCGTGTCCGAGGCCTTGGAGCTTGACAAACTTTCGGTCTATGGACTTGTTAGTTTGGGGTTGGAGTGGAGGTCGAGGGTACGTACGACGCTCGCGGATTTTCTCTCTCTCGGCAACAGTCATGAGATTACTAGGAGAAGGAATGTCCGAGCTGACGAGTGTGGTCTGCTGACTTGCGCGCTCGGTCTCAACGCTTGTGTCTCTGCCCTCGGACTCGGAGCTCATGACCTGCGTCAATGGGCTAGTACTAGCGATACTGCTGCGATTGCGCGCGAAGAGACTGCCAAAGTTCTTGATGCTACTCTTGCGATAAGCCTGGCGCTGTCCTTGGTCGTCACCATTATCGCTAATATTCTCCTGCACTTTGGGAGGTTTCGGAACGAAGCTGTCTTTGCGCTGCGCATTTCTCTGTGACTTGGCAAGCTGAGGGTAGAGCGATGGTACTGATTTTGGCGAGAAGTTGGTCGCTGCCAGCGTCGCTTGCATCTGCGCGTGCGGGAAATCCATGTTTTGAGTTCGGCGCGGCGGATACGTGTGCGTTCAAAGGGAAGGGAATGGAGATGTTGCTGAGAAAGAGACGCGGATATAGACGTGTTGGTACGTGGACGACGTGACGGCGTTTGTCAAACTGCGATAGTGACCACAAGGTAGCTTGCGCACTGACGTCAAAAGTGAAGGTGAATGTGAGCGTGAAGAGGAGTTGATATTGCTGGGTGACGTCCCGATTGAGCGATTGCGCGGCCATTAGCGGACAGTGGAGGAAGATTCAAAGAGGGGGAGAAGATGTCAGGGTCTACCACGCGTACAACTGCCCTGGAGGCTCAAGGAGTACAGAATTTACTTGAGATGAACGTAAGTGGATGCAAGATGAATATTCCACGATAAGGTGGAAGTGTTGGTCCTGTCCTCTTCTGGGTTTGTAGCACCACCTCAGTAATCGAGACGCCGGTGAAGTGTAGGCTTCTAAGGATGCCTTCAACTCTTCTTCCGTGATTTCGTATCCATCTCTTCCAACGAGACCAGCTGCGATCTTGTATATCTTGTAAAGTCTGGTTGAGCCGTCTGACCGGAGCGTGCTGCAGCATTTTCGTCATGTAGAATGCAGTTCGAGAGGCCTTTTGCCGGCCTGTACATTCAATGTCAGCTGAGCATCTTTCGACAAACTCTGCAATCTCCTGGAGGGACTTACTGCTTCGAGCGGGATGCTTTCATCTCCGTACATAACGGAAAGCGTGAAATCTGGCGACTTACTGAATGGAGACCAAGTCCAGACGTAAAGCATGCTCAGTGGGCGTGTAAGGACCAGCGATTTCGGAGGAGGACTCGCTGTCAGTGATCCGAACTCGCAATGAGCTCATACAATGCCAAACACCAGTAATTCCAAGATACCTAGTGTTGGATCTCAGAACGTGACACCACCATCGTGTGAAAGACAACCGACTATGTTGTAGCCCAGCTGTATGACTTGTCACGGAGCGTGAGATTGGTTTTCACATCGGCTTCAGGGAATGATGATTGCGAATGGATCGGTGCTGGCATGGGAGGTGGTACCCATGAGACAACAAGACTAGAGTAAATTCGACTGAAAAGCCACTCATCTTGTGAAAAAGCTATAGTTGGCACAAAGATGGAAGGAGGAAGCATGCGAAACGGAGCCTCGCTCATGAGATTTCCTAGACTTCCTCTTACTCACCTTACCTATGTCCACACAGTCTCATTCCAGGGAATTAAAAAAAAAAAGCGCATCTCAATCGATGCGAGCTCCGAGTCTCCATGTGATTCTCACTAGTGAAAGAGAACCAACAGCGATAGACGGTCCAATTCACGGCAGTATGTCTGGGGATCAGGTGCAAATCCAACACTGTAGACGTCCCACACCCAGTGTTGGCTGCATTCAGAGGGCAAGTCATGCGCAGACAAACAAGTAGTGTTGCATGGTCAGGTGAGGTTCAATGGAGACATACGTGCAAGCTGGAAGGGAGGGAGGGTCTGATGGCGGCTGTTGAGGGTGGTCCCGACGCAGAAAGTTCCTTGGCGACCCGCCCGCGGGCGTCTTCCAAGTTCCTGCTCCCCGCTCAAAAGGGCCGATGCAACAACACGTAGGATCGACTTATCTCGGTCAATAGCCGTTGACAGTCAAGCTTCACCTGCATGCGGTTTCTTCTTGGACCTCGTCTCGGCGATCCTGACCCTGCTGACGGCCCGAGCGTCTGTCCCGCGGCCTGCGATGACTGCGACACGCAACATTTCCTATCAACTACCCGAACGGCTTAAGAGCAATCTGCAACAATCTCTTTGCTTACCATGACCCCTCACGGACGCGCATCGGGTTAATCTAAAAAGGCTCTTTGACGCACGACTGTGTCTACAACTGGTATGGCATTCGTACACTCCCACCAGTAGCCTGCATGGATCAACCTCGCACGGCGCTTATGGGTGTTACACAACACTGCACAACGGTTTCTGCCGCGAGCAAGATGGGCTATACCCACTTTTCAACATCCTCGATATTGCGGCGCAGTCGTCCTTCAGCAGACGCGCCGGACACTGCCCTAAGTTCTAGGTCGTCAGGAAGGACAGGTTTGGCGTGACCTTCGACCACTCAGGCCTTGGGGGCCAACTCTGATCAGCGAACTCATGATCCTAGCTCTAGGCTGAGCGCCTCGGGAACGAGAACTGGAGGAGCTTCAGGGCAGCGAACCATAGACAAGAACGCCTTCTTCTTGTGGCCTGACATCAGGTCCGAGGAGCTTACCTACACCTCGAAACGGGCAGCAGTCATGCTTAGTTGAAGGGGCTCGCAGGCTGAAAAGGTGCTTCCTCGCGCTGATTCGCTAGACCATGCAACAAAGTTGAGCGAATGGGGGCTGTGAGCCGCCTTGCGTCGAGAGCGAACCACGACAGCAGATCCCAGCCGTTCAGGAAAGCACCCGATGTTGGTCCACACCCCGGGTCCCCGTTGTTGGCACCTCTCATCCTGCAGGCGCTGCTCTATATGAATTTGCGGCGTGGTTGATGCAAGTTGTCCGCCGTCAGCCAATGAAGCGCTAAAGTTAGCGCCCCCGCGAGTTGGGTCGCCAATCATTCCCTACTTAGCCGCATATCCAACGTCCTTCATCCTTTAGGAGCTTTCCGTGCCATGTCGCGACGGCGGGGTCAGGACAGGCGGCTCTCGAGTCTTGACACGCGTTTAGACCAACAGGCGTAGTCCCACATTGCCACCTCAGTAGCAGGAATGCGCAGATAGATCTGTCAGCTGTAAACGGTGTGGTACGCACCGTTGCGGCGCGGATGACGCGTGTGTGGTGCATTCATATAACAAAAGTGTAGCCTGCAGATCATAGGTTGTACCGCTTTCAGCCCTCTGTTATCGTCCTGTTTCGTTTGGGGGCGCAGCTTTGGTCTCCTCTGCCGTCTGATTTACCCAGTTGACCGGTCTCGTTGCTACGCCGCAATACTCTCCTTTCGGTACTTACGTGTCTACGGGTGCCGCCTTCTTTTACATCCTTCGCCGCCGCCTTTCCCGCGCTTCTTTTCGTATCGTGCGTCTCGTTCGCACTATCACACAACGCCTCCGCGATTTAAAATTACTACCTTCATTGAAAAGCTTGTCCCTAACTTGGCACTGTCACACCCATAGACATGGCTACACTGTCGGTGCCGTCGCCTAGCCTGGGCTCCGGTTCATTGGGTGCCAGCATCCACAGACCGCTCTCCACTCACGGGCTGCCAAAGCAGCCGCGTACAATGTCACCCGAACGACCACATCGTTTCTCCGCAAAGTCCACAAAGAGCTATCCTCCTCCAGCTCTTGTACACACTCCTATGACACCACAATCCCTGGGACCAATGTCTCCCCCACCTATGTCAGCAAAGTCTTTCGGCACCTTCATCGACTCGGAGCCGTCGACGCCAGCCTACTCACCAAGGATGGACCACCAGTGGGACGACTCATCGGTGGTCCTAGTCCGCCCCATGTCCTCGTCTTCTGAACCTTCAAGTCCTACTGAGCCAGTATGGCGCATGTTACAACCACTCCCGGTGAAGGCCCCACCAAAGCCCAAAGCCAGCGCCGTCAGACCTCAGTCCAAAGAACCCGTCACCTCTGCCAAGGAGATTTCATCACAGACATCGCTTGCATCACACCCTACTAAGCAGGCGAGCTACGTCAATCGCCCGCACGCGATCAAGCTAGCAAGCCTATCACAACAAGATTTCCCCCCGAAGAGCGAAGACATCCCACAGGGTGATGTTACATCACCTCAGCCGACAGCCAGCACACCCACAGCGGCCGCCTTCGGAAAACTGGCAAACAAGATGAAGTTGATGCTCCGGCGTAAGAACACGAACGCAAAGAAAAAGGAGAAGAAGAAGCGAGAGTACGAAGAGGTAGACCGTATAGAGGATGTACACTGGACAGAAATGTGACCTCCACCTCACACCAAATGGTTCGAACATCTCAAAGTCCGACGTCTATTGCTACACACGGAGATGGGGAGGAGGCTGGACGCTGCGATTCCTCGTCGGTGTATCGTACGAAAGCATCCGGGAATTAATACAAGGCATCGGTGTCCGAAGGAAGATGGAACTGTATCAGAACTACACATCAAGACTGTTGCTTATACTCGTCCGGTCAGATTAATGAGCTGCTGGCCACCAACATCACTCTTGTCGGCGTATACGTGGCGTACTTGATGTTTCCCTTTGGTTTTGGGAGGCGTTTTGGATCCTTATGGCTTTCATGAGTTGCACAAGCAAGTAACGACGATACCCAATCCTTACCATAGCCTATTACTAGCAACTATCTTTTCATCACTGAACTCGTAGCAACCACTGCCGATGACCATGGAGCGATGAGTTCTGACTAGAATCATCTATAATGATCACACAGAGACCACCAAACAGTTTGTATCCCACAAAGGCCTTCCAAATTCTAGCCAGCGCGTGTCTTTCTAGACTCATCGTTCTCGTGCCAAGCACCTGCCCGATTGCTCCACGTGAAAGGGCAACCAAACTAGCGCGTGCACAGACCATCAAGTCTAAGCTCCACAACGCGAAAGAAGCTGAACACATCTCACCCATCTTGCGATACAGGGAACACTTTAGGTAAAATGATTCCCAGAAGGTTGGGAAGCGCCGTACGGCTCAAATGCGCCGGCAAAGCACAGCCTCAAACGCGCTTACAGAGGCCACTAGCAGTGACGACCCGTGCTTTACGGCCACACACAGGACGCGTTCTGTCAAGTCCGTTATCACGTGCCCTCTCGCAGACAAGACTCCTACAAACCCATCCCAAGAGTTCAAGAACCAACGGAAGAAACATTGCCCTCTTCAACACGCGATGGAACCAACCAGCCAAGGACTCCACAACCACACTCCTAGAATCGCGCTTCCCAACCAAGACCGTCCTTGTACTCCTCACCCTAGGCGGCCTAGCATACTACTTCGTCGACATAGTAGAAACCGACTGGACAGACAGCGTCTACGGCGCCTTCGAAACCGGCGACGATGCCTCGCAGCTCGCCCAACCCCTCCACTTCTACTCCTCCAAAGAAGAAGTCCAACACATCCTCGACTTCCACATCCCAGACCTCAGCGCCCCGATGAAAGATCCCGCCATAGCGAAGTTCTTCTCGGAGCAATTCGACAAGCTATGCTACGGATGGATGATGACGCCCGATGATTCAAAGAAGGGTGTCGAAGGCATGCCGGACGTGCAAATGCCCATAACACACGGATGTCGGTTCCGCAGCAACGAGCCATGTGAGGATTTCTTCGCACTAGGAACGTCGCCTGGTCCCGGGCAGAACCTGTGGAATTACTGGACTGTACTAGATGGGCATGCAGGACGACACACGGCATTCTACCTCCAATGGACACTAATCCCCATGGTATCCTCCGCACTCAGCACCCTAACACCGCACGCCTCGAGCCACCAAATCGAAAGCAGTATAAAAACCGCCTTCCTCGCCACGGACAAAAGTATCATGTCCCGCGCCAAAACAGCCGCAGCCTGGTTCCCCGCCGCCAACGCCGCCGCTATCGCCGCGCTCACACCCGCTTTCTCGGGGTCCTGCGCGCTACTCGCTGCATTCGATCCCCAAACCTCCAAGTTACGCGTCGCATGCACAGGAGACTCGCGCGCCGTCCTAGGCCGCTGGGACCCCTCCACATCCTCCTACACCGCCATCCCCCTCTCCGAAGACCAAACCGGCTTCAACACCAAGGAAGTAGAGAGATTGGCAAACGAACACCCAGACGAACCCTCCGTCATAGACCCCAAAACAGGCCGCATGCTAGGCATAGCCGTAACCCGCGCCTTCGGCGACCACCGCTGGAAATGGGATAACGACACGGTCAAGGCGTGCCAGCACAAATTCTGGGGTACGGCGCCGCGGCCAGGGAATCTAAGCCCGCCCTATATGACGGCAGAGCCTGAGGTAACGGAAACGGAAGTCGTGAGGAGGGAGCCGCGGGATGGCATGTTGTGTGGTGATGACGGGAAAGCAGAAGAAGGCGGGAAAAGCGATTTCCTCATCCTCGCTTCCGACGGCCTATGGGATCGTATCTCATCCGCTCATGCCGTAGAGTGCGTATCCCGCTATCTCTCCGCGCGCGCCCGTGGCCAAGGCTCTGTGAAGGCCGACCCGGAACTCCTGCGCAACCCTCCTGTTTTCCCGTCCAACTTCTCCAGTTTGGATCCGGGTGTGACGTGCGATCCCGCGGCAGGCGAAGACGTGGATTGGAAAGCGGAGCCGCAGTATTTTGCGATTGAAGACGAGAATGCGGCGGTTTGTTTGGCGAGGAATGCGATGGGTGGGAATAGGAGGGGGTTGTTTCTGGGGGTTTTGGCGGGGCCGGAGCCGTTGAGTCGGAATGCGGTGGATGATACTACTATTATGGTTGTGTTTTTTGATAAGATTGGTGAGGGGGGGGGGAAGGGGAAGGGGGGTAGAAAGGTAGAAGAGAGTAGGGGTGGAGAGGGGGAGAAGAAGAAGAGGTGGTGGTGGCCGTTGTGAGATGGGCTGCCTCTACTTGAAGAAAGAACAGGATAGGAAATGAGCTGATAAATACACATCATATGATGAGATATGGATGGCTTAATTGTCTGAATTTGGACGTCAGATGCCTGCTAGTAGACTACAGAAAAGAAAGCAAGAGAGTAGTGATGTTGATATCCTCCCAATCTCAATCCGTCGAGAGCCAAAAACAACGCCTTCCACGCCTTCAGCCTCAGCTATGCAAATGCTCCTGATTCATCTGCTCAAAAGAACAAAACCTAAAGAGAGATAGTGATATCACAACCCCATATCCGAAAAACGCAACAGTCCCGCCCTCCGTCTGAGTTTCCTTATCTCCTCATCTTTCCCATCCCTACTCACATCCATCCTTCCCCCGCTCAAACCAAGAACTCAAACCAATACTACTGTAGGAAATCGCGTTGAACGTTGATGAAAGCGCCAGGCCCGCCGTCGTCGGCGAGTTCGGTGACGAGGGCTTCGGTTTGTTGGATTAGGCGTTCGAGGGCTGCGGACGAGGATTTGCCGAGGGAGACTGCGTGGGTGTTGTTGTTAGTTCGAGCTCTTTCTTCTGCATCTTCCATCTTTGTACGTACCTAAAATAGCGCTATTAAGTTCCTCAGCAACAGGCGCACGCCCCGAAACCTCCAGCAAAGGCGCCAGCGCACTCTCCCGCGCATCCGCATATGCTATAAGCGCAAACGTATCCTCAAGAGCGCGCTTGACTTCCCGTCTTGGGTCGTTGGCGAACTCGGATTTTAGCTCCATGCCATATGTTATAGTTTCGCTTGTCGCTCGTTCGCTCTTTGCTACTTTGTCTTCCATGTCGTCTTCGTCTCCGACTTCCAAGTAGTCGTCTTGGTCCTTGTTGTCCCAGCTGGGTGGTGGGTTGTGTACGCCTAGTTGCTCGTCAAGCTCCATTTCGAAATCGTATTCTTCTGTTGCGGTTGAGTTGCGCTTGTTGGGATTCGAAGCGGTGGATCGTTTGGATGATGGTGTTGGTGCGGATTGGCATTGTGCGTTCAACTCTCCGCATCGTCGGATCATCTCGATGAACTTTCGGCAGCGGAGTTTGAAGTAGATGTTTTCGTTGTCGCGGAGGACTGAGGGGTAGTATGCGGTGGTGTGCTTAAGTGCCTTGTCAATGTCGCCCTCGAGGATAGCTGTCCGTATTTCTGCTTCCTGTTAGCCTGCATTTGTACCCTGAGGGACGAGCTTACTTTGTCGGTTCAGCGCATCCAGATCTTCCACTGCTGCTCGATATGAAACGTCTGTCTCGTCGTTATTCGCAAGCGCTCTTGCTTCCTCGACAATCTCATCCGAGAAAGCTCGTGTAGTCTCTACATAGCCGTCGTGCGCCAGATATTGTCCCACCAGCTGATGTATCAGCGCATCCTCGCCTCCCAACGCACCAGCCTCTGTTTTGGTCCGGGCGATCTCAGCTTGTATGGCGGCCTTCTCGTCTTGTACCATCTTGTCGATATCGAAAGCGAAGGGTTCTTGGCCAAAGTTGACGCGGACCATCTCGCCGGGCTTCTTCATGCCTACGGTAGGATAGTACGGCATGTTGGGTTTCAGATCTCGGAAAGCCGTCCCTGGACTTGTTAGTACTATCCATATCCCTCACTCCGCGTACTCACCTTGCATATGTCCATTCTTCGTGAAGAACGCAGTATTTGTCCGGAAGTTGATGCCACAGCCAATAACATCCAGTGTGCCAAACTTAGGCCCGTATGATTTTCCAGAAGTGGTATTACTAAAGACCTGGCCATCGTCGCCATGGTACGCATACGAGTCGGGCTCCCAGCCCGGTATCCTACTGAGGGCAACTTTGGGTCCTGAAAAGCCTACTCCAATCATTCTACTGCCCGGTGAATTAGCGTGTGCATTAAAAGGTGTCAAACGTACATACCCGTCTTTCCCCTTAGAAACAACAGTAACCTCGTAGTAGTAGATCCCACACTGCCGCGGCATGGGGAAGTCCGCGCGAACCGACGCAGCTTCATCGTGTGTCTTCTGTGAGCCCGAGAACTTGGCCAGCCTCTGACCATCCTCCAGCTCAAGCTGAGGAAACCTGTCTGCGTCATTCCACCGTGTCGGCCATGGCGCTACCGGCTCATCCACAAAGACCGGCGCACGCTCTACTATCTCGTGCGTGAGACCGCGATGTGACGGCGCCATCTTGTGCAAGTTGACGCTGCTAGAACTAGTAGACAGCGAGCCTGCATTGGACGAGTGTGTTGACTTGTATTCCCGCTGGGCTGCCAGCTTCGCCTTATGCGCCTCTTGTAGCTTCTCGGCGTGCTTGGACCCGCGCAGGTAGGAAGGCACGAAGAACGGCGGTATATCCTGTGTCGATCCTCCCAAGCCATGCCAATAGCCAGACTGGCTGGAGTATGAGGGCAGTGGCCCACCGGCCCTTCCGAAACTCGTAGACATGTGGCCGTCGGCGTCGATGGAGCGAGAGAGGCGGTTCGGGTGCGATGTTGAGCCGCTGTTGGCGAGGTGTGCAAAGGCGCCGGATCGGGTGGGTTGTTGGAATGAGCTATTGCTGCCTGCCGATGCAGCAGCTACTCTGGCGTAGCTGTCCCTCCGAGGATTCATAGTGGTCGATAGTGGCGCTGCTGCCGAATACCAGCGTGTTCGGGCGGGCGTTTGGAAGCGATCGCAAAGGGCGGACACGCAGACTACGCGAGTAGTAATGGTCGAGCGGGCGGTCGTAGTCGCTGACGGGATTTGGAGACGTCCAACAGCGCAGTGACGCGTGGGCTAGCTGTCTCTGGCGCCGAGTGAATGCGGTACTCTGTGCTGGAAGGTGCCAACGGCAAGGGCAAGAATCAACGGCACCCGGGCTCCTGTGAAGCGATCGTCACAAATGCATTCATGGTATCATCAGCGGAGGATTTGCTGCAGGAAAGCTAGCGAAGGAGGGCTGGGCAGGTTGTACGTCAATGAGGTCCATGGGCGGAGGTTTGGATGCGCCGAGCTATCGGTGGAGATCCCCGCGATCCACGGGTACGATAACGCCATTCAGGTCACGCTCATCCTTGACAATCATCATACTATGAGCTTCAAAAGTGGGCACTCTACAATCTCAAGGCGCGAGAAGACACACACTGTCACGTTGAAAACCTTTGGCATGGCATATTGGCAATACCCGCTACCGAGGTTCTCAAGATGCATGCATGGACAAGTACTTGTAGTTTGACATGGATATTCAATTCTCTCCATAATGCTATGCAAAGCCCCCTTTCCGTCTCTATCCGGATTCCATATCCGTATCCAGTATTTGTGATGTCCATTCACAACATACTTGTGCGCCGTACACCATGCTGCCCGTGGCAGGCCAGTGACGCCCCAGTTGGCGCCTTTTACGTAGTAATGCAATGCGCTCCCTCAACGCCAAACAAGACAAAGGAAGCAAGTCGATATAGTCAACAGGTAGCAAGAAATAAAGTAAGGTCGAGCCGTAAGAGGTGCAGGCTGTCGCAGGAGTACATCAAAGGAAATGAGGCCAAGAGCGTTCATGCCTCAAGCGGGAATAGGAGCAGGAGAGCTTGCTATGCCGTTCATGGGCGTTGGTACGGGTGTGCTGTCGCCGTTCAGTCCACTCTTGTCGCTGATTGCGCTGCTCTCGTCCTTCAGTTTGGACTCGCTGGTGCCGGTGCTGTCGCTCTTGACGTCGTCGGCGAAGGCGCCCTTGCGGCCTGGCTGGTATGTAGGCACTTGCCACATGACGCCGGTGAAGCTGCGGACCTGGAATCCCTTTTTCTCCCAGCGACGGCACTTGGCCCCTGACCTGTCGAGGGCGCGCAGACGCTCGTTGATGGCTCCCAGGTTTGCCTTGGGGCCTGCCTTGTTGATGGCTGCGGGTGCTGGGAAGGGCCCCTTGGAGTTGGGGTCGTTGATCATGTCGCCCATCTTCTTCCTCTTTGGCCCTGGCTTGGCCTTGGATGGTTTGGGGGTTGTGGTTGCGCCATTCGCGCCAGCTTCCATCTGCGCAGCACTCCGCTTGCTGCCGGGCTTGGGGCCCTTCCTCTTCGAAGAGGGGGGCGCCAGCGACGACGGTGTGCTTCCGTTCATGTTGGGGGTTGAGTCGGCGGGCGTGGCAGCAGGTGAGGGCTCGTTAATCTGCGGCGCGGGTGTTGGTGGAGAGGGCTTGGCCTCTTCCTTGGGCGGCGTTGCAGGCTCGTGTGGAAAGTCTCGCAGAGAATCCGGTGACAGCTTGAGTGCGACGACGAGGGTCTTTGGTGATTTCGTGGTCATGTTCGCGTGCAGAGGAACGCGGCGATGATGGACGGAGATGGCTGATGTGGAGGGCAGCAGAGATGGGGGTGGTGATGGTTTGGCCTGCAGCGGTGAGGAGAACAGACAGTGGCTCTGCCGGTCAGCGCGTTGGCGTGTCGGTGGCTAGGGTGAGCAGCAAGCTGGGTGAGCCGTGCTTCACAGGAAGTCGAGGTATCGTCGAGCTGATGAAGCGCGTCGATGCAAGCAGAGCGTGGAGAGATGCAGAGGGGGAGTGGCAGGGAGAGTGGGTGGTGACGAAGGTTGCCGCGAGGGCAAAGAAAGGGCTTCGCCGGCCCAGCTGGGGTGGTCGGTTTCCCAGATCATATTGGGCGGGAATCGTCGCTAACGTTTTCTCATTGTATTCCGACACTCCCAAGAGGAGGAGGGCGCACGGCCCCCAGTCACGCTAGCCGCATTTGTGCTCTGGATATCTTGCTGTCGCTGCTGGCAGGCAATTATCGCATGTGCATCGCGTTTTCCATTGCATTCTCCTGTCTGTTCTGCCTGCCATGGTGTGCTCGGCAGGATGTTGGCGTTCGACTGGCGAGGTCCGTGTGGCATCGAGCTAAATTGCGCGTTCCATGGAGCGGCGGGCGGTGCGGTAGAAGCATCGCGCATCGCCCACCCGGAGTCTGACACCAACCCAACCTTTTTCTTCATCCGAGACGCTCAGAGTCTGCAGTCCATCGGACATGGTTCTATACTTGGAATAC